AAAGCATCCAAGTATTCACTTTTGAAAAAGAAATTAAGAGCCTAGATCACTTAAATACCTTTGATATTTTTATTCTCAGGCCCTTCATTCAAACATATAAGAGTACTTTCTATCAATAATTTATAATCCTTCAGAAGAGTACCACAACTAAACCTGTGAATTCACGTAAGCAAGATTGCATAACCAAACCATTTACAGACATATTTTAGCATTACTTTGCAACAGTAGGCATTAGGATTTTGAGAACGCAAGAATCTCTGAAATACAACCCGTGTGCTTCTTTATCCCTTAATGGTTAGTTAAAATAGGTATCATTCAGAACAAGGGGTGAGCAGAGCCTCTGCAGAAAGGTGCAATGAACGTCTGGATCAGACAAACTCGATGAGAATCATAAAATGCAGATTGGAGATTTCTCCTTCAGCCAGGCTTTTACAGAAATATATTTTCTTGGCTAAAAAGGATGGCACAGCACAGTTTTACAGAGGGAAATGCAAAAATATGAAGAGGAGAGTCCCATTTTCTTCCTCAGTAATCCCATAAAATCAACAATCTGTTTCCATAACAGCTCTGGTCATTTACCTGACTGCTGACAGGGCCTTTCCCCATCACCTGAGGTGAGTCTACGCTCCCCTTTTCCGCGCTGCCAGGGGTAGGCACAGGGTCAGAGTTGTTGTGCTCGTTATCCCCCGGGTTCCCATTAATGTGACCAATTTGTTCTCCCCAGTTGCAACAACTGTGCAGGCTTATTTACTTACAGTTCAGATTTTCTTCCATTCATGGCACAAAGCTGAAAAGTAAACAACAGTTAAGAAAACATTTGCTTGCCAAAGCCCAGCACGAGAAGGTGCAAGCTCTCTTTGCCAGAGCCTGGACCTGTGTTTACTCACACCCTCAGCACTGTTTCACGCTCTTGCCTGGCATTGTATAGGAACAATCACCATCCTCTTCAGGACACCCCCCCCTCGCCCCCCTTATTCAGCCTTGTGGAAGTTACAAAATATAACAGAACACTGTTTTCTGAGACTATATTGACTGCACTAATTACCCACAATACTGTATATTTGCTATTAAGAACATGAATGTGTGCTTTCAAAGTGTGACATTCAGGGCTTTGAGGATGTGAAAGGAATTAGATGGATTGTTCTGTCACTTAATCCGAGACTTCAATGTACTTTTAAAAATTTGTTTAAAACCCCAAAAAACAGAATACACATTTTAACTGTTGAACTTTTACCAGCTAAAGGAGTTTGTAAGGACCCTATCACTATGTGGTTACAACAGAAGATACACAGTTAAGGTCAGGTCACGGTTTCCAAGAACATTCACAGGGACTGAGGATGAGAAAAACGAGGGACAGATCCTGCGGGAAGCTTCGGGAGACTGAGCCGCTCACTGGGGAAGTGCCTTGAGTATTGCATTCACCTCCTCTGCAACCGCTGTCAAAGCAAACTCAAACTGCTCCTGTGGAGAGAACAAATGCATATTCTGAATAATAAAACAAAACACTTTCCAAAAGCCTGATGCACTATTCTGCAGCCGAACATCCTCAAGACATTGTTAAAAATATGAATATGCAGGATGAACTGCACACTGCAATGGAAAGGAACAAAATATTCTGGGATTATTGATGCCATATAACATGTTTGACAGCATCTTGAAGCCGGAGTCATTTTAATGGAGAAGAAGGTTGGTAGCAGAAACTAAGCTATTGGGACACAATGATGTATTGCAATTGCGTGGTCAGAAGGGTTTGGGAGTTGTTGATCACCAGCCATTTTCTTCTGACACAGAGACAGAAACTCGTTAACATAATTGAGATATGAAATAGGTGAGATGCTGCAAAGCAGAGCCTTTGGCTTTTCTCAGGACTGTTTCTAGTTGAAATCAGCTAGAATAAATATCTCCTCACCTTCTATCTATTATATAGAACAATATCTGCTTTTTGGTTTACCTGTTATTGTTCTTTTTCAGCCTCCCTTTTCAACAGTCTTTCTGCACCCACAAATTACCCAACGATGTTTAGACCACTCCTATTTAAGAAATACTTGGGAAGGTTTTCTCTGCTATTAATTTACTGTAAACAAAATTATAAAAACAAAATTATTAACAGGCATCTGCGCTCCGTTGGCAGAGGCGTAAAGGTCACAGCCATGAATGGCCACCATAGTCCTACAAAAGGAGAAAGGAGTTTGACTTCCTTAAGGTTACCAGGTGTTGTATTTTCTAAGCAAGTAATTTTTCTCAGAAATTTAGCTTACTGAAATATCTGACAGGATGATTTGGCGTTTGCAACTTTTCAGATGAAAAAACAAATGTGGGCAGTTTACTCAGAATACAGGCAAATCAAGGACACTACACAAGGACTGTGGAGAAGTTTCTGGATTTTCTAGAAGTACTCCAGTGGTTTAAGCCAGCCAGGGTCAAGAGCTGATAAAGAACCAACTTTGAGAATGGAGGTCTGAGATGCACCCTGAAAAGCATCCTGAGATCACTGCTGGGATACTATCTGTGTCTTCGATTAGAAAATTGGTGGTCTGGTAGGTACCTCCAGCCCCTCAGTTTGCGCTGCCAGGGGCTGTGCGGGATGGCTGCAGGTATGTATGCAGCAGTGGTGGATGGCTGCAGAACACAGCCAGCCCTCAAAGATGATTACTGGACTAATAGCATTCATCTTCCACAGTGTTTCACTTTACTGCGGAAATCTGCAGAAAGGATTAAAGAACAAAGTACAGATGTGCAACTCATAGTTCAGAAAGACAGCTGACTTCTAATTGCTGCAATTCAGTGCCTGTCTTCTCTGCCTTGTCTTACCCCACTGCGGAGTCATCTCCGATGTGGAGATGCCTCAGAGAGAAGCAATGATGGGCACAGTTCCTGAGCAGAAAAAGAAGAAAACTCAGAATAATTTCTCAGAGACACTGACATTCAAGAATTTTGCTGTCTGCTTGGTGCTGTCAAAGTGGCATCCTTGTACATTTGCTGGACTGCAGCCAATAGTTTTTAATCAGACATCAATTCACCCTAAAGAGCAGGACTCATCCTCATTAGGCACAGAAAATGGTGTATATGTCTGCCTGTGCCTCCTCGCACCCCCCAAGGTCTCTGCAATTAAAGAAAGGACTGGAAATGCTGGTGGCCACCCAGGAGCAGCAGTTCTATTTTAACTGGAGCACACTGAATGTGTGAGAGGAGCTGGAGGGCAGTGGAAGCAGCGGGCATTCATCTGGACATGCCATGCCGGAACCAAACCGGGCGCTTGTACCGGCTCAAAAAGCTTCAGGAAATTTGGGCTGGTGCATGAGAAGTGCTCACCTCCGGGCAAAAGAGCCTTGGCAGGAAGAGCTGGCAGCCGCTGGACCCCATCGATGCAGCCCAGCAAGGTGAGAGACCTGTGGAGCAGCCTGGGCAGGGTGGGGGTGGGAGACGCTCGTGCCGGGGCTGGCAGGAGAGGGGCAAAAGCGGGTGCTCCCAGGACGCCGACGCTCAGATGTCAGCGGGACAGCTGGTCCCCGTCGCTGCCAGTCCTTGGAGCACAGGGAGCACAGCAACAGAAGAGGCTGATCTGAGCACGACGGGGTTGACACAATGATGCAGCCAAGTTTCAGAGATGTGCAGATGACTTTTCCAAGATGTGGGCGTCAGTTTGGAAGAAGGGAAGCTGCCCATGGTAATGAGGCTACCTAATGTGCTCTTCATCTGAGTATTGTACAGTCAGGAAAAGCTTGTAAGATCGGGGACTACAATGCTTTAATATTAGTCCCATTGCTGAAAATAACTTACATTGCTCTAAAGTGATTCACTGAGCAAATCTGCCCTTTAACTTTGTTGGTCCGAGATGTGTTCACCTTACTGTGAAGATCTTCAGGCCGGAGACCATCTGACCTGTGAGTGCCTTTACCCCTCACGTGAGCACAGGCCATCATTGCACCGCCTGAGAAGTGTCTGTCTCCCCCAAGGACCGTGGACTGATCAACATGAACTCCAAAATTCCGATATGGATTTTGGAGACAAGTTCAGTGGAGACCACCAGCTAACATTAGGTGTGACCCTAAATTACTAAGGCAAAACAAATTACAAAGCATGATCTTTACAGCCAGAGCTCAAAACTGACTGAAACACTGCAGTAAAGGGGACAGTAGAGCAGACACATGAGATGTGTGAGGACTTGGTCTTTCTGGGATGGCGCAGCCAAGCTCTTCCCCCTCCTTCCTTTTGCATAATACGCACAGGCGAAATGCAGATAGTGCAGCTTCCATTGATGTGTATCACCACCCTCCAAAGAAAAGCCTTTACACACCTTCCGCACCTTTCCATGAGAACAACCACAGTTAGAGCAAATTAATTTCAGTAATTTTTAAAGGAGCTCAGTTTGTTGTTTTGTACAGCTACAGTCATTCACATATGCTATTCGCATATCCAAGATTGACTAGAGATGAATTTTATCATCTAGCTTTGCCTAGAAAACAGAGCTGGACAGGCATTTTGTGGTGTCAGTCCACCTATAATGCAGAGGCGACAAGAATATTTTTAGTAAAAAATAATAAGCTATGTTTCATTAAGCCTACAAATAAAAATTCCCAGGAAAACAAACTGAGTACATGTAGCATATATGACACAATAAAGAACCTTAGCTAAATATTACAGATTGTGAGAGGAAAGATATAGAAGGAGCGAGAAAAAAAGGAAATAGATATTTTTCCCATCACAGAGAATATAATTCCTCCTTCATTACTTTTTCCTCTAACATGTGGCATATCAATTCTATTTTATGATTCCCCTGCAAAAAACCCAACAAAACCACAAACCCTCTATTATGCTTCTCAGAAATGCAGAATGTCATTACGATAATTTCATTACCATTTATTATATACAGTGCTTTTGAATTAAAGATCCCTTCCAGAAGACAAAATGTTGCAAACAAATCTTTCACATGCTTATTGAAAATGTGGAGCGCTGCCTGCTGGAAACACAATAACATTGCTGAAGTAAGTTGGTGTTTGTTTTGCCTAGGGATATTCTGTAATTGGCATTTCTAACCTGACTTTTAATCCATTGTTTTAAATTACTCCAAGAGTCTAATATTGCTCATTTGTATTCAGTTGGGAAAGCACAGGGGTTTGTTTAAATCCATCAGAAAAATTCTCTGGGGATCGTGCATTGCTAGCATGTAACCAGATATTTATAATTTGCAAGACATTAGCTTGAATAAGTGATTTGGGTGGTTTTGAGAAAACGACAATGATGGAAGAAGGAGCAAGAGGAGAGATAAGCAATATCCTGAGAAAATTTTTCATCCTGGATGAAAACACAGGATACATTTATTTTTTGGAGCTCTTCCAGATAAATGTTTGGAGGGGAAAAACACATCTTGAGTGAGATTTTCATGGGACTCGGGTAACTATTTCTGAGCTAAGAGAAGTTGTTCACATAACCTCATTCTTTGGTTCTGGGACTATGTTTTTTCTTTTGTTGAAGGCAACAAGCTGTAATTTCTCTGCCCTGAGAGGGAAACTGGAATCTGAGCTCTATATTTCTACAGAGCTGCCATATATTTTGGACGCATTTACAGAGTAGTTCAGGGCTTGCATCTTCCCTCAGAGTAAATATATGTGACATTGGATACCGTGTGCTATATGCATTTTTCTTCCAGTCCGAATAATCAAAGCAGAAGAAAGATTTGTGCAATTTTACATCTTACTTGCAGATAAATATTAGTTAGCTTTGACTGGCTCATCTTTGTTTTTCATGCACTCACTTAATTGGTAAATAACAATTACGTCCCCCCAGCTGTTCTCCAGCACCACTTCTCCTAGTATTAGTGGGAAGATAAAATGATTAGGAAGAGATTCAAGAAAAGTTATGAACCAGTGATTCCTGCAACACACATTTATTTCACCTTTGTCCCTCATCAATTTCAACTCCCTAAATGCTGCAGACTTTCCTATTAGCCAGCCAAGACTGAGTTCCAGCCTGGAACTCCTTTCCTGTTCCGGCCTGGCCAAGACACAGCGCTGTCACATTGCTCTTGTTGCTCAGTTTGGGGCTATAACTCTCATGCAATATTTTACAATGTCATCTACAGATTTATTTGGTCTCCGTGCCATGAACGAGTCTATTGTCATTTTTGCAGCTCTTAACTTGCAGCAAATACCCCAAAATATCATTCCATACATCACTGAAATTGTTAATAATAGAAAGTTTCATTTCTAATTTAAGGGACTACAATCACACCATCAGCTATCTTTGTTGAAGAATGTCAAAACTATTACAACTGACAGGAATTACAGAGTAAGACGTTCACCTCACCAAAGGGTACAAATATAGTTACCATGCCACATCCATAAAGGACATGGCTTTAGGCACGATGTAAGCTCTTCCATTCAAAGATATTAAAAATGACTTAATTTCCTACAAAACAAAATTTCCTTTAATTCAAAACTTTTTTTTTCCCCAGAAAAAAAAATCAAGTGCAGCAGTTACATTCTCTTTAATGAGTTGAAGCTTTTAAAAACTATTACATGCACAGTTAAGCACAGATACTCTAAGAAAATAATCCATATTTCAGGATGAAAGCAAGAACATTCTTTCAAATGCACATTTTCTTTAGTAGGCTATAGATTGTTGTCTTGACTGCCCTTCATATATGGTAATCAAGATAGATGTTGGAGATGTTACAAGAAAGAGCAGTAAACACCAAAGAAAGTAGCCTAGATAAATCTTCAGCATAAATAAACCTCAGTTGGTAGGGAGCCAAACAGAGTAATCAGCAAGCGACCTGCGGTAAATTAGGTCATACCCTCTCTCTTCTGTCATGAAAACAACTACTGTGAAAGACCTTTAATGTATTTAAAATCCCAGTGGATTTATTGACAGTACCTTTGTCTGGACCATGCCTGGTCTCTGGTCCCTCAAGTGCTCCAGGGTAGCAGCAATATCAATCTCTTTAGCACCTGCAACAAACCACAAATTGGGCTGAGTTCAGAACACAAGATAATCCATGCTGCATCTGTCAATCTCTTGCTCTCGGGTTCCCTTTGGGCTAACAGTCCAATTGAAAATTATTACATCCATCTCTCAGCAGACTTGGCAAGCAGCTGCAATTTTTGTGTTCATATAGAAAAATAAGAGGTTGGGGCAGCTTTTATTAACATTAATTCAAGAAAAGCCAGAGAAAAACAAATTCTTAAAAATGCCTCTGCACCTAGAGCAGAATATATTTTGCAGAACCTAAGGGTCCGTCGTGGCAATGTCACCGAGTGCCCCTTTGTCACTTCTAAGTGTATGCACTGAATTAAGGGCCCAACCCATACAAAGATTTATGCTGTTCAAACAAGATTTAGGTGAACTGCTGTCACCTGCAGCCGAGATCCAGAAAACCTGTCTGTGGCTTCCTAGTTCAAGACCTGCCAGACCGTCTTGCTACATGATCACTGTTTCAGCCAGCAAACCTACAGCATTTTCTTTAGATTATACTTTGGCTGTCTGGACACTGCTGCTGTGTCGTGATTGGCAGCACCAGGATGCAGAAAATAGGCATGCAGAGCCTAACTACTGTGGGGACTGGCTCCCTTCCTCCGTGCAAATGGAGGTGCTTTCTTTTCAAACAAGATCTGTGGAGACCAAAGCAAGTCCTTGTGCCTCTCACCTTTCTCATAATAACCCAGAGCCGAGAGAACCAAAGGGGACAGGGAGATGCTGATTTCCTACTCAATTTCCTCCAGTTTGAGATGTTTCAAAACCACCCTCCTCATTTTCCTTAAGTGCCTAACCAGATACATGTTTTTGAAGGCACTGAGAAGAAATTGGGATTTTGGTTCCCTCCTGTCAGTCCCTGTATGAACTCCAAGAGTAGAAGCCCAACTGAAAACCCTTCGAGCTGAGAAGTTCGGTTACAGTTTGTCTCTCTTGCATCTGTCCCCTTCTGCATCGTGCAGGAATATCACACAGCGCCAAAGCATCGGGCAGATGGGCAAAGGGTCACCCTGGACCAAGTGTGACTTCCCCATCTCTGCTTCCCTATCCCCTACTGCTCTGGACGTACACACATTCTAGGGCAGATGTGGGTCTGTAGCCTCTGCAGCTGAGGAAGATGCTGATCTCAGGTCTCCCCTGTCTTGTACATACACTTTCATCATTACATGGTTTATCAATGACAGAGATCACCTACGTTCTGAAATCTGCTCCATTTTGAAGGATACTCAATGGTGTGCTCTGAAGAGGACTGTCGCCCTTCAATGTGCAATTTGACAACCATTTCCCTGGCCCTAGGAATCTCCTGGCCCAGCCTGTGTCAATTTGGGACTTCATTCTGGAGACATGTAAAACTCCCCAACTATTCACGGGGGTCTTGGTGCCTAACTTGGGGGCCACGCACATAAAGCGTTGCTGCTGCAATAGCTCACTTGTACACATCTAGAACATATACTTGTTTAGTTCCCAGGACTGGATTTGCAGGATTGGACCCAACGCTTACCACTCTTACTAAAACTCTTGTAATTTAAGGGCTTAAATCTAACTGTAAGTAGGTTCATGTCAATGTAAACATCATGCACCTCCTCATTTACCCAACTCAACTTCGTAACTCAGCACCATCTTTTAAAAAATTCAGAAAAGCAACTAACAGTGAATGATTTAATTTGGTTTCCTTTGATAAAAGATATTTAAAAATAACATCAGCTCTAGAAGAATAATTGATTTGCAATACATTCTTCATATCGATGAAAATATGTTCTTCAGCTGTATCAGAAATGGAATGAATTCATTCAATAAATATAACAGTGACAATTTAGAAAAGGTATCTGTCAGATATTTTTGCTAATTACCATGGGTTGGGGCATTGTATGGTTTTTGCTTCCCCTCCGCCCGCCCCCCCATGCATTGTACAGCAATTTACAGGGAATTTACAGGGCTGAGCTTTGGAAAAAATATAAAGTTTTGTTTTAAAATAAAAAAAACCCAAACCTCCTTACAATGGAGCAGAGCAATACATACTCACATGTGCTGTAAAGTCTGACAGCAGTGACAGTAATTATACCTTAAGACCGTTGCAGGTTTTGCAGTGGCAATTCATCTGGAAAGCATCAGTAAAGGTACATTCTTTGTAGACCCTAGCACTGGTGTCACAAGGTAGCTCATTTCAGTGTTTAGTCTCACACATGCACGTGCAATTAGGTGGGAATTTCCTGTTCCACCACAGATGTCCATGGGAGCAGAGTTGTGTGAGTACCACACGCGCTTACAGCCTTACTTATGGCCTCATTAGATTACCAGGAATTAAAATGTCCCAGCAGCATCTTGGCTCAACATAAGAGGAATTCTCTCTTTCAGAAATTAAGATATGAGAAAAATTTAAGACATTGACATCCATGGATGAGGTTAACCACAGTCCTGAGCCAACCTCCGAGGTGTGCTGCAAGGATGAACCTGGAGATCCTCCCAGTGGAGCTGGCCGGCTCGAGTGCCATGGGAGCTTCCCCATGGCTGCAAATGTATATGTACCACCTCCAGTAAGGGATGGTCTTTATTTGAAAATATTCTAGCCTCAGGCCAACACAGTAACTTATTAGGTGCAGGGGAAAGGTTCATGACAAGACCTAATAACACTTTTTAATGGCCTACCTTTGAAAGAGTTAATTCCTCCATTTCTGTGATGCAGATTGCAGGCATTTACTAGTGAACTGATGCTTGCTTTTTTATCATCATTAACGGAATGACATGCCTAATAGTATGAACAACACCTGCTTATAAAATCCTGATTTAGCAAAACACCAAAGCATATGCTTGCACTGGAACATAAGAACAGTCCTAGTGGGCCAGTGTGCTTAATGGGAAGCTTGTTTTGAAGTGTTCTGTCAGTAGAACTCCCTGAAACATCAGTTTTTACTGATCAGTGTCCCCCAGCCCATGGGCCATGATCAGCACATCACCCACAAGCACTTCTGATGTCCTCAGCCATAGGTAATTAAAAGGAAAAGGAGAGCAAAGTATGCTTTTGCCCAAAGCACGTGTCTTGTTCAGAGGCCGGGGGGTTAGAGGCAAGGCGAAGCAGAGGCAGAGATTGGTTTGCTACCTCCTTTTTTTCATTTCTGAATGCCTCTGATACTATGGTAATGGGAACTACCTAAGTGCCTAGAGAGGCTGATCCACAAAACTTAGTGTTGCAAAGGTGGGCAGCTGTTTTGGAAGAAAAATATCTCGGAGGAATAAAATTCACAGGAAAAAGGATGAAACCAGCGGCATCGGATAAAGCCAGCATGACTTGTTTTCTCTCTACATGAGTAAACCTCTCTTCCTCCCCCGCATCCACCACTACAAGTTCTTCATCTACTCCCTTATTGTGCCTAAGACAAATGAGTTTAAATATATATTGCTAGTCCACTATTAAATCTCATTTTGTGATGAGGGCTTTTTTTCTATTCAAACTTACACTAGATTGCTGTTACATTATGTAAATTCAGCTCACTTCCACTGATGTGTGCGATAGTCTGTAGAAAGTTCTCTGGTGACAGAGGGACAAAGGAAGAGATTTTCAAGGCACAAAGGGAGGTCTGAACCCAACCTGCATTCACAGGTGAGAGGAGCTCAGTGTTTAACTGCAGTGTGAGCTTTCAACTCTCTTTGGAATTATTTTGTTGAAATCTGACACGAATTCAACGTCTTCTTTGCCACTCTGAGTCTTTCTCTTTAATTTGAGAGTACAACAGTATGGCATAACATTCCATAGTACCCAATAACATTTTCTTTATGCTTTTAAGCCATTTCAGGTGACAAAAAATACAGCATATGTTACATGACATTGGGAGAGAGGGATATTGCCTATAAGGACATTAGGGTCAAATCATGCTCTTACTGAGATGGCCCTGAAATATCCACACACTGCTGAGGTATTTTAAACATTGCTTATCTGGAAAGCCCACATACAAACTAAATTTGGTGCAGTGGTTTAGAGTACAAGCTGGAAGAACTTGACCCTCTGATTCCAAGGATATCCTATTATTGGAAGTGTTTTGCTCAGGCTACTAAACTATGAAGTCCAGTAATAGATGGAGATGGCAATTTATTGTCATACAACAAACAATCTAGAGGAAGGGTTAAAAATGCTAGGCTGGAGAGCACTGACGATTGGAAAAGAGAACACAAAATGTGCCAAAAAGTCAATATTTTGTACCTTTTCTCCCCACCAATACATATCTGTCTGCTTAACAGTGCTACTGGTTTCAGAAAATAAAGAGGGGGATAAAAGAGGAAGCATTTAAAGAATAAAGAACTGCCTTTTCACCTTTTGACTGTATTTTACTCTGCAGGGAATAAATTTGGTTTGCATTTGTGACAGGTTCCTTTTTCACAATGGATTTCATTGCTTGTTTTAAATGAACGTAAAAATGCAACTTAGTGTGAGATTGAGCTAATGTTGTACCAGCAGTATTGTGAGAAATGACTGTGCAATGTGCAATGTTGTTCTTTTTTAAACAGAACATGCATTTGCAGTAATTCACTGTGAGCCAGATACTGCTAGCCTTCCCCCTGCCTTTAAGCAGCTCAGCGAGCTAGCTGAGTAAATACCTCCAAAAGCACTTCCACACCAGTGCAAAGCAGATTTTAACTTCAGTAATTAACTATCATCTTCCTAAAGGCTTGAAGCATTCACAGTGAGTGCCCAACAACCCACATCAGGAACATTAACTGGGTAAACTAAAAGAAAACACGAGAAGATGCAAGCTGCATTACATTTTGCCCCCAAGGAGCAAAGCGGTTTCTGAAGTTTAGGGTCATATCCTTTGCAACCCTTTCTCTCCCCGCAGGCACCAATGCAGGATGCACGCTGGCACTTAGCAGCTGGTGCTCCTGATTAGCAGGTCTCAAGGGGTTAAAGTGTTTGCCCTTAGATAGTCATATAAGTGAAGTATCCAGCATGTCATAAAACCATGGGTAAAAGTTGAATTCCCTTTTC